TTGCTAGCCTTGAATGAGGCTTTTAATGGCAACCTCCCATCTACTATGAGATTTTCAGGAACTCGTGAAGCACGACACAACTTGGTGACAAGGAAAGGGAAGTAGAACCCTTTGAGTATTTCCAGGGAGCGAATGAACATTTCATCCTGAATGAGCCGGGCCACATCAAAATCATGGTGGGTTACAAAATGATAAATCGCCGCTGCTTTTGGCCCATTAACATCTGTAGTGTTGCTGGATTGCAGCAAACAGTTGTTGATGATTGTTATCCAATACTTAGCTTCCCAAGTGAGAGATTGGGAGTTCAGGGTCATTCTCGGCTTTATACATATTGGATACTGGCCACCACACAGATTGTTTCAACAATTGGTTGCCACAAGAAGGGTAGGCGTTGATAATCTTGGTAATAATCCGTCTCTCTAGTGAAGACCGGCAACCTATACACTCAGCGATGGCCTCAAGAGACGCATCCACCGGGGTATTTCGTACCGTGACAACCCTATCAATATGGTACGGGCAATTCGCATAAAATTCCCTTACCATCAGTACATTGCCCTCTTCCAGTTCATTAAAGAAGATGTTAAGCTGACGCCTCCTCAATTCTTCATAGATACTTGGGCATTCAACTCGCAAGGCATGCCTGTCAATGTGTACTTCAGGCACCAGCTTCTTGGATGTCTTTGCATTAAACCTATCTTAAGCCGTTTTGGAGACAAACCGAGTGCCGTCAAACTGGCTCGAACTAGCCTGAGCTCGAGCTCTAGATGAACCTCCTGGCCCACTAGCGGAGGAACCTATGGCACGTCTTTTCCTTGATTGATGCATTGTACCTGACAAAACAAGGGCTACTATTAGTGAGGGTTTGAGTTGTGTGAACCCTTCTCAGACTTCACCACCACTATGGTCACATTAGCCATTACAACTCAATTAGGGCAATTTCACAAGCACCTGGTATGCATGGAACTATGATTTAACACACTTATCCCATAGAAGTAAAAACTCTCCCCCCAAATCAATCACAATCACTTCACAACTCCACCCCACCACAATTAACTTCACACAACAACATCATGCCCTTCTCTACTACATTCTACACATTACCCACTAAAAAGAAGAAAAGAAAATCAAAAATTTAACTATAGATACTACAACAACTCAAACATTAAAATTGTAAAAGAGAAGGGGAGAACAAGAGAGAAGGAAATCATGACATACCTGGTTCTTGTAGAGTTGGAGTGTAATAGAGGTTGGGGAGGAGGGAGTCGGAAATGTGTGTGTGTGGGAGAGAAATGTGAAGAAGAATGGGTGTGGGGTTAGGGATTTAGAGTAAGAATGAAGAGTGGAGGAAGTGGGGGGTTAGGTTTAGAAGAGAAAAAGAAGAAAGAGAAAAAAAATAAACAAAAAATAACAAAATTAATTAGAACTTACCTGGGTGGGCAGAATAGTCATAATTCACCGCGCCCGGCCCGTGTTCCGACCGCGGTTGCGGTGAAAAAAGAAAAATAAAATAGAATAGTCGTGATTCACTACGCCCGGGCCGTGGTCGCGGTGGCCCAGAAACATAATATGTCTAAAATGCCGCGCCTGGGCCGCGGTCGCGGTCATAGGCTTCTGAAATGTTTTACCTTTCCGGAGTTGGTTCTTGACCTCAACTTCTCCCAATATGCACGAATCTTGCCCTGTACACTAATAAAAGGGTTAGTATCATACACATCAAGTACAACATCAAAACAAAAAGAGAAACAAAAGAAAACATGGGTTGCCTCCCACGCAGTGCCTGATTTAACGTCACGGCATGATACATGTTTTGATTATCACTCCCCATTCGCGTATTGGAGATCTTCCAAAGTTATTACCAATCTATCCCCTTTTTCATCGGCCATGCCAAGGTAATGTTTTAGCCTTTGCCCATTCACCGTGAACTTATTTTTCCCATCTTCTGATTCATTCTCCACAGCTCCACTTAAGAACATTTGCACCACTCTAAAGGGTCCTGACCATTGGGACTTCAACTTACCCAGCAACAATCTCAATCTTGAGTTGTATAACAACAATAGATCTCCGGGTTTGAAGTTTCAATCCAAGATGTGCTTATCATTAGTTTCATCCATTTCTTGTATAGTCTAGAACTCTCAAATGCCTGGAACCTGAATTCCTCGAGCTCATGTAGCCCAGTGATTCTACTGGTGCCTACGGTCTCCATATCCAAATTCAACTACCATAATGCCCAAAGTGCTTTATTTTCGAACTCTACCGGAAGGTGGCATGCCTTTCCAAATGCCAACTTGTACGGTGATATACCAATTGGAGCTTTGAATGCTGTGCGGTATGCCCACAATGCATCATCCAACTTCTTTGCCCAATAAGACCTTGTTGCATTCACTGTTTTTGTAAGGAGACTTTTAATCTCCCTATTTGACACTTCAACTTGCCCGCTTGACTGTGGGTGATAAGGTGAGGCTACTTTGTGGTGAACTCCATACTTTTCCAATAGGCGTGCGAATGCTCTATTACAAAAATGGGTTCCACCATCACTGATTATAGCTCTCGGGGTGCCAAAACGTGTGAAGATGTTTTTCTTTAGGAAACTTGTCACCCCTTTTGCATCATTGGTGGGGAGAGCCACCGCTTCGACCCACTTGGAGACATAGTCAATCGCTACTAATATGTATTTGTTACCATACGAGCTGATGAACGGCCCTATAAAGTCGATTCCCCACATGTCAAAGACCTCCACCTCTTGAATTGTAGTCATTGGCATCTCGTGATGACGATAAATATTGCATGTCCTTTGGAATTCATCGCAGCTTTTGGCCCAAGCATGGTCTCCTTGAATAGAGTTACCAGTACAAACCCGATTCCAACACCTTAGCTGTTGTCCGAATTCCTCCAAAGTGTCCACCATATGGTGAAGCATGGCAAGCCTGCAAAATAAAATATTGATCTTTCTCAGGGATACACCTCCGGATCATGTTACCTACACATATTTTGAACAGTAGAGGTTTATCCTAATAATAATACCGACAATCGCAAAAGAACTTTTTCTTTTGAATTGAAGAGAGTTCATAGGGTACAATACCGCTTGCTAAATAATTAGCAATATCAGCATACCATGGCGTCTTCTCCATTGTCATAGCAAGTAACTGTTCATCCGGGAATATCTCTGTGATATCTTCAACCTCTATTCTCTTTTTTGCTCTTTCAACCTCGAGAGGTGGGCTGCCACTTGATTGTCCGTCCCCTTTCGGTCACGGATTTCTAGATCAAATTCTTGTAGCAATAGAACCCAGAGAATCAAGCGTGGCTTTGACTCCTTCTTTGCTATCAAGTACCTAATTGTTGCACGGTCAGTATAAACAGTAACTTTTGAGCCAATTAAGTACGACCTGAATTTGTCGAAGGCAAACACTACAGCGAGCATTTCCTTTTTTGTGACAATGTAATTAAGTTGTGCACTACTGAGCGTCCTGCTTGCATAGTAAATCGGGTGCATCATCTTGTCTTTTTGTTGCCCTAAGACTGCTCTATATCATAATCACTGGCATCACACATGAGCTCGAACGGTTGTTCCCAGTTGGGTGCAACAATGATGGGTGCGGTCACCAGTCTCTGTTTCAGATCCTTAAAGGCCAACCTGCAATCATCAGAAAATACAAAGGGCTGGTCTTTTTCAAGCAGCTTACATAAGGGGTTAACAATCTTGGAAAATTCCTTAATGAACCGCCTATAGAACCCTGCATGCCCCAGGAAACTTCTCACTGCCTTTACGGAAGTGGGTGGTGGCAGCTTCTCAATCACATCAACCTTGGCTTGGTCAACTTCAATTCCCTTTTTGGACACTCGATGCCCCAACACTATTCCTTCTTGTACCATAAAATGACACTTCTCCCAATTCAACACTAGATTTGTCTCCACATATCTTTTGAGCACTCTTCTTAGGTTGTGAAGACAATCTTCGAATGAATCCCCCATCACATATAAATCATCCATAAACACCTCCATAATATCCTCAACTATGTTAGTGAAAATGGCTGACATACACCACTGGAATGTAGCCGGTGCATTGCAAAGCCCAAAGGGCATTCTCCGAAAGGCAAAGATGTCATACAAACAAGTGAAGGACATTTTCTCTTTGTCTTCTGAGGCTATTGAGATCTGGTTATACCCCGAGTATCCGTCCAAGAAACAGAAGTGGGACTGTCCAGCTAACCTGTCCAACATCTTGTCAATGAAGGTCAAGGGGAAATAGTCCTTTCAGGTGGTTGTGTTCAATTTCTGATAGTCCATGAAAATTCGCCATCCCATGACTGTACGAGTTGGGATTAACTCATTCTTCTCATTTTGGATTACCGTCATTCCTCCCTTCTTCGATACACATCGGACAGGACTAACCCAATTGCTATCAGAGATGGGGAAGATGATACCCGCATCTAACCATTTGATTACTTACTTCTTCACCACCTCTTTCATATTCAAGTTCATTCTTCGTTGATGTTCTATGGAAGGTTTGTGCCCTTCTTTCAAGAGAATATTGTGCATACAAAAAGCTGAGCTGATACCCTTTATGTCTGCCATGGTCCAACCAATGGCAGTTTGACATTCCTGTAACACCTGTAGGAGTTTCTTTACCTGCACAGCTAGCAAACCAGATGATATAATAATAGTAAAGAAGAATTAGGCCCTAAGAAAGCATACCTGAGGTGAGCTGGAAGCGGTTTCAGGTCCAACTGTGGCGGCTCCTCTATTGATGGTTTCGCAGGTGGTGTTGTTCTTTCATCTAAGTGTAAGGGCTTGAACTGGGGTTCCCTTGTCCAGAACCCTTGACCTTCGAGAGCCATGACCCACTCTGCCAACTCCTCACCATCCACATGTTCCAGATTTATCAAGCAACCTTCTAACGGATCCCTATCATTAATAGTCTCATCCTCCTCTTGTAATATCACATCTACGGCCTCCATTAGTGAGCAATTTGCAAGTTCGCTGGTTCTCCTCATAGATTGTTAAACATTGAATATGATTTCTTCATTGTTCAACCACATTTTCAATTCCCCAGTCTCACAATTAATCAATGCTCTCCTAGTGGCTAAAAACGGCCTGCCCAAAATGATTGGTATCTCTTCATCCACTTGACAGTCAAGAATGATGAAGTCTACAACGAATACAAATTTCCCCACTTGAACAAGCACATCATCAAGAATTCCGATCGGTCTCTTTATTGTGTGATCAGCCGGCTGCAACAACATTGAGGTCGGTCTAGCTCTACCAATGCCCAATTTTATATAGATATCCAAGGGCATTAAGTTTATACTGGCTCCCAATAGTGCATGGGATAGTGAAACTACATGGATTAGACACCTTTTGAGCCATAGGTCTTGTCACAACCGCGTTGTAGGTCTGCATCAGAGTTACAGTGGATAGGTTCTGGAAGTCAAATTTTCTCGACATCAGGTCCTTCATCATTTTTGCAAACCCTGGCATTTCCCTCAAAGCATCCATCAGTGGAATATTCAATTGAATTTGACTGAGCATTTCCATGAATTTCCTGTATTTATCATCTTTCTTTTGCTTTGCCAACCTCTGAGGGAATGGTGCAGGAATCAACCTCTGCCCACTGCTTTGCGCCTTTTCTTTGCTGGGAGCTTTTTCTACTACCTGTTCTGGGAGTTGTTCACCTTCCTTCTCCTTACCCTTGTCAACCTGTACTTGCTCGATTGCAATCTCGGTGAGATCTGCCGACTCATCAGTCTCTAATGTAACTGGGGCAGCTTGAGTAGTTGGCATTGTCTCTCTCTTGGATTGAGCAACTTCTTGCTCCCTATCTAAATCTCTCTCATTTTTGAGACACACTGCCATGAGCTGATTCAGGTTCTTCTCCTTTGGATTAACGTTTGTATCTGTAGGCAATGTTCCTTATGGACGATTGTTTAAGGACATAGATAGTTGTCCCAATTGAGTTTCAATGCCTTTGATTGCCGAGTCATGTGCAACTAACTTCTCTTGCATCTTTCCATTTGTCCCAATGAGTTGTCGAAACATACCCCTGATTTTGATCATGTTACTATCCTGCTGCCAAGGTGGTTGGTAGGTCAACTGTTGATGGTGTTGCTGATTATAGCCATGTTGCCTTGATAAGGTATGATTTGGCCTTGTGGTCGTGCTCCTCCTGGATTGGGATTGTGCTATTGTTGGTTTGGTCTGTACTGCTGGTTTGCTATTGGTCCCTATTGCTGTCCACCTTGCCTCCGACCTCCAAAATTATTGACATAATTCATATCTTCTATGAATCTCTGTTGTGTAACGAGGTCATCCAAGTCATTCAAAGAGAGGGATAATCAAGACTGATGACTGTGTGGTGGAATTGTCATTTAAGAAACGTTCTATAATTGCTTTTAAGTCCTTTAAGTTTAGTATTTGTAATAGAATCTTTAAGTAAGGTCATAGCCTGGAGGTGACATGTGTTTGTCCTTTATTTTAGTGTAGTTAGGGGGTGGTACAATAGCTGTTGGTTTCTCATTGGAAGGGAATTTAGTCACAGCTGTAGCTATCATAGTATTTATCCTTGCCTCGTCTGTGTAACTATTAGAAAAATGACAAAGCTTATTTAATTTTTCCTTCTTGTTCAATTTTTTACAATTCCTTTTTCTATTCTCAGTAGTTGTAACGTTACAAGTGGTATGTAGAGCCAGGCTTTTCCGGCAAACTATGGTAACAATGGTCGAATCACAAAAAGAAAAAGCTCCCAATGATGGTTGGCGCAGAATTGATGAACAACCTCAAACATATATTGGCGAGTCGAGAAAAGAATGGAAATGTTTGAAAAAAGTCAAGCTCGTTTGAATACTGAGGCCATGCAAAGGCAGGAAGAAAGCAATCGTGGGCTTGATATGTTGCTGAGCCATTTTGAGTCAGAATGAAGGATTGATTTGGCAGCTTCGGGGAGATCGGTGGCTGCATTGGTTATTGGAGGTTCTTCATTAGAAAGGGGTGATTCTTCAGTGGGTGTTATGAGCAGATCCATTAGTTCTCCGGTGACACCAATTTTTCCACAAACAAGTAGGGGTATGTCTCTTTCTGCAGCTCCCTTCAATCCTAGCAGTAATACAACTACCTTATCCATTTCTTCGCATCTTGCTTCATTACCTTATAACACTGGTCCATCTCTATATCCAATGGCTCCTTTATCACTTACCTATCCCACAATGACAACCAATTTTCCATCTATACTTATTGCTTTGCCACACTCTGTTTCCAGCATAAGCTTACCCACTTATGTCGTGTAGAGTAACCCGACCACTACACAGATACCAGTGAGCCACACAGTTTTACCTCCTCTTTCTTACCAAGCCATTATGAACAGCTCTTTTACACAGCCCAGTATTCAGCCCATTATGCAACCCAACATCCAATCAAACTTTCTGACACCAATCAATACTTTGGGCTCATTTAGAGGCCCAAAAGCCAAATTAATATTTCCAGAGTTTGATTGTAATAACCCTAGAGGATGTATATTACGTCGTGAGAAATACTTTGAATTATACCAAGTGCCTTCAAGTGACAAGATGAACTATGTGCCTATGCACATTAATGAGAAAATGGATACTTGGTTCGATGTTTATATGATGGAACATGGTGGTACTGTCACATGGGAGACCTTTTTCTTGGATATGTTTTGTAGATATGGAAACATCAGACCCATGGATGTTGTTATTGATTTTAATAGACTTCAACAACGGACGGATGTGGATAGCTATTTTAACAAGTTTGAGGACTTGCGTTTCTACTTGTTGCTCATTAATCCAACATTTAATGAAGCTTACTTTGTGTATTGCTTTGTTGGAGGATTAAAGGTAGATTTACAGTCCATGGTGAGGGCATTCAATCCTCAAACAATTATTGATGCACTGGAAATAGCTAAACTCCATGAAAAAACATTAGTCTCCATTCATAAAAATATTTAGCCTCCGAAAATGTCCTCTACACAACCGAGAATCACCTTTCCTCCCAGTCCAAAAACAACTTCGGCTCAAAACATCAAGAGTTTGCCGCCTATTGTGACCAGAAATTCAGTGGTCTTACCGAACAATCCAACCATGGAAATGTTAAGGGAAGATAAGTTGTGTTACAAATGCCATAATAAGTACTTTCCAGGGCATCAATGTAAGCACAAAGCCTTTAACTCAATTGAAGGAAGTGAAGGGGAAACCATTTTGAAGCAGGTGAAGGCTCTGGAGTAACAGAGGAACAAGAAGTGGAGGAAAATGTGGAAGATGCTACAGTTAATATGATGGTGGGTTTGGAAGTGGAGGAAACCTTCGTCAATATTCTGGATGGCCCAGGAAGAGGTCCCAAGACAATTAAAATTCCAGGAATCTTAAATAATGAACCAGTGATAATTTTGATTGACTCAGGGGCAACTCATAGCTTCTTAGACCCTCAATTGGCTGAAAAATTGCGATTGAACATGCAATAAATGATTCGGCCCATGAAAGTTCGAGTAGCTAATGGAGGGATAATATGGAGTAGTATTTTTTGTCCTAATGTGCTTTGGCAAATGCATGGTGAAGTGTTCCAATTTGACTTGAGATTAATGAAGGTTGGAGGGTGTGATATAGTCTTAGGAATCGATTGGATAGACTTGGGTAGCTCCTAGGGTTATAAACACTAGACCACATAGTGTATCCTTCTTCAAAGGAAGTAAGATGGTGACACTGGTGGGATTTCCTGATTCGCATTCAATGGCCCAAGTGGATTCTAAAAGGATTTATGGGTTATTGAATAGATGTGGTTGCAATTGGGTGGCACAAATATTTCGAATGGAATCAATCGAGTGCAACAGACAAATAGTACCAGCTGTGGTGGAAATGTTTTTAGGTGCATTTGCTAAAGTGTTTGATAAACCCACCACCTTACTCCAAGCTAAGTCTTGCGATCATGCTATTGAATTGGTTCCAGGAGTAGCACCAGTCAATCAATGACCCTATAGGTACTGTCACGAGCAAAAAAGATGTCATCGAAAGAATTATTCAAGAGATGCTAAGACAGTAACCACCAGTACATCTCCTTTTGCTTCACCAGTCATCCTTGTCAAGAAAAAGGATTCGACATGGTGGTTATGTGTTGATTACCGGAATCTTAATGACATTACCATAAAGAATAAATATCTGATTCCGGTAGTGGAAGATCTACTAGATGAACTCCATGGTGCTCATTATTTTTCGAAATTCGATTTAAGATCTGGATACCATCAAATCCGAATGAAGGCAGGCCATTGTAAGCACGTGATTTTTGACCCTCCCCGAGAATTTTCACATTTTTAGCGTGAATATGTGAAATTGGGTCTAATATAGCCATTTTAACTATTTTTACTTTATTTCGTTGCAAAAAGAAAAAATCACAAAAAATACATATATAAATTTTAGTTTATGCATTTCTCATAAACGTGGGAAAAATACAAAAATTGTACTTTATTTTGGTACTTTATATAAAATCGAAAATTACAAAATATATAGTTCTATTAATGTTTGCAGTCATTATAATTTTGAAAAATACAAAAAATATATATTACTTCATATTTTTGTCTTTATTAAAAACGAAAATTACAAAAAAA